GTGTGTGACGTCGCCGAGAAGGCCGGGCCACCAAAATCGCTCTCGAAGTTGGCCAATCGTGGGATTGACTCCAAAGTGTCCGGTGGCGGGAGCATCGTGGAACTCGCCAAGAAGCCGTGTACGCAAGTGAGAGTCACTCGGTACGCAAAAAAGGGTCCTTCCCCCGTGTGTGGACAAGCAAGTACCCCTCTTGGATTTGGTAGTGAGAAGGCGCGGGATTAGGAGAGGAGCAATTCATGTACTTGTCGCGAAGCTCGGGGTTGGCTTGGTAGCCGCGGATTACGCTGTCCCGCAGGTCGTCGCAGATCTCGAAGGTCGAGTAGACTGCAGTACAATGATCTGGACGCCGTGAAAGAGCATCCGCAAAACGGTTCGACTTCCCGGGAATGTGATCGGGAAAGAGGTTGAATTGGTTGATGAAAGCCATCCAACAGGCGATGGTGCTATTGACGGTGTCTTGGGTCTTGTAGAAGACCAACGGATTGTTGTCCGTTACCCATCGGAATTGACTTCGACCAAGGAGGAAGTGCCGCCACCACTTGAGCGCGTGGATGAAGGCTAGGAGCTCCTTGTGTGCATCTTCAATGGAGTGCACGACGGGCACTTTCTTGCTGAAGTACTCGACCGGGTGCCAGTCCACGCCATCGTGTTGCTCGAGTACGACACCAATGCCATAGCCGGACGCATCCATAGTGACGCGCGTTCGCAATAGCGGGTCGTATATGTGCAAGGCCTCCACAGATAATAGCGAGGCTTTGAGAGCCAAAAATGATTCCCACGCATCCTCCCCGAAGTCAAACGACCGATCCTTGCATTGAAGCTTGGACAAGTGGGCCGCAATGTTCGAGTATCCCTTGATAAAACGTTGGCAGTAGCTGTCAAGGCCAACGAACAAACAAACATCCGTGACGTTCTGCAGCTCCGGCTACTCTTGGATGGCTTGAATCTTGTCCGACAACGGACTGATGCCCTCTTGTGTGACAAAATGGCCCAAGTATTCAAGCTCTTGTCGGACAAATTCGCACTTGTCGCTATTGGCTTTGTACTTGGCGTGGTGGAGCGTCTCCAACACTCGTCGAAGGTGCTCTAGATGATCCTCGAATGACTGGCTATAGACGGGAATGTCGTCTAAGTAGACCAGCTCGAACCGGTCCAACATCGTACGAAACTCGTTGGTCATTGCCGCTTGAAAGGTCGTCGGGGCATTGGTGAGGACAAAAGGCATGACCACCAACTCAAAATGCCCATACCGCGCCTTGAACACAGATTTATAGCGATCGTTCGGCCGGATCAAATCTGATGGTATCGTGACTTCAAATCCAACTTAAGGAAGTATTTTGCGCCGCCCATTCGCTCAAGAAGATCGTCGATACGAGGAAGAGGCCCCGCATTCTTTACGGTTTGCTCGTTGAGCTTGTGGTAGTCGATGCACAATCATAGATCCTTGTTCTTCTTCCGTACGAAGAGAACTGGCGCACCGTATGGTGAGCTACTAGCACGGATCCAGCCCTTGTCCAACAAGTTATCGAGTTGCGTGCGAAGGACCGTAAGCTCCTCCTTGCTCATGCGATAAATGCAACCTTTCGGCGGCACGACACCGGCCCCAAGAATGATCTCATGAGAGATTCGTCAATCCGACACCACACCGGTAGGTGACTCGAAGATGTCGGCGAACTCGTCAAGCAACCGCACCACGGGGGTTCGAAGACAAGTCCGTGGGTGAAGAGTCGGCTACCACGACGCTCCGTAGGAAACATAGGCCGCTTTCGTCGGGCTGCTCGTAAGCACAAGTAGCCCAGAATGACTTGGCCGTCACCACTTGGCACCGAATCGAACGGTGCGGAAGAGGAATAGTACATGGTACTTCGGCGCCGAAAGCATCATGAACAGTAAGAGTCCGCCGGTGGAAGTTGAGCGTGTGATCCGCACTTGCAAGCCAAGGCATTCCCAAAACAATGTCGAAGTCTGTGTTCAAAATGTCGAACGTCACCGGTTCGCGTGCATGAGGTGCGAAATACACCGGTACGGCCTTGATCTAGTGGTCGATAAGTTGCTGCGTCCTTCCGTCCGCCAACTTGATCGCCGTCGGGTTTGCCTTCCTTCGAACTGGATCGCCAAGGCCAGCCTTTTGCATAAAGGCTTGGCTCATAAAATTGGGAGACGCGCCGCTATCCAGCAAAGTGTTGCAGGACGCTTGCCCAACTTGGATGTAGACATAGAGGAGAGGTGCGTTGTTGTCATCGTATCGCTGATTGCGAAACTCACTGGCCACCTTGGTAGCATACGTAAGGATGTCCCCCACCGCGACTTCATCATCTCTCAGTGAAGTTGGTGGCGCATAGAAGGATAAGTACCTATGAAAATGAGCGCATAATGTTGCGCATTGCGGTCCCGGCAAGCGGCCCGTGGTCGGGAGAGGAAGCCATGCGAAATCCTCGGACGTGAGCGGGTCCAATACCTCTATGTTGAACTCGCGCGCCGAATCCCGTGAATAACCACTTGAAGGCGATAAGTTGCCCCTGCCGGACGGAGAAGATGCCGCACAGACGTCTTGTCCTTGAGCATGAGTACCCAGCGTAGGAACGAGTTGGGCAACATAGTCCTCATAAAAAAAAAAGAAGAGTAGGACTATCGACTTCGGCGTGTGCCTTGGAATAAAGGGCGGTCACCCGCGAAGCGACCGGTTCCGAAGTCATCGAGAGTGTCGTCGACTCACTCCCGACGGTGCTCTGTTTCTCGATTTGCCCTTGCCTTTCGACGGGCAGCCCACTGTCTCGTGGAGATCGTTGTTGCACCACAGACAATAGCGTTGTCTCGTGCGTGCCTTGTACGCCTGTTAGGAGAGACCGAAGTGGGCCCATGGGGCTGGAGCTCCTGCGCTGGCCCTGGGGCTAGATGCGGTGTTTGTCTTCGGCTTGCCACGTCCTCGGCCTTTGCCGGGGCGGCCACCAACCCGGGCGGCTGCGAGTCTGTCCCCTTCATTGGCAGACACGGCCTCACTAGTTTGGTCGATTGGCGTTGCCGCCGCAACCACGGCCACTTTCGGCCGATGCTGATCTCTGCTTGGGCCTGTTGTAGACGAACGGTGGAGGTTCTTAGCCTCCTTGTTCGTGACAATAATCTTCACGGCCTTGTCGAAGAGCTCCGTCGGTGTCGTCAGGTTGTCCTCGACGTGAGTCAAGGCATTGCCCAACGCCGGACACGACCTTGAGATGAAGTAGTGTTTGATGGCCTTGAAGCCCATTTGAATGTCTGGGACGGACATCAAGCGTTGCTATTTGACAATCCAGTCAACACTCGGCAGCGTGCCTTGTTCGAAGACCATCAACTTGTCCTTTGCCTTGATCTCCGGCGGCTCTACTTGGAACCGCTTATGCCACGCTGCCTTTACATCATCCCAGCTGATCTTGGTACGCAAGCCCGCAACTACCACTCCGTACTTGGACAACAGGTTGTCCAACCACGCTTGGCACGCGCCCCCCGAGCGGGAGTATAAGTACGTGTGATGTTGGTGCTCGCTGACGTAGTGTAGCTGCAAATTGAGTTCGAACTTGTGGAACCACGGAATCGGGTCCGTCTTCGTCGAATTGCAGAAGATGTCCTGATCATCAAACTTTGGAGTTGTCTCGTGCGGTTCCGATCTCGAGTGAGTGGCAGCAGTACAGATCTGCTGCTCCAACTGTTGTGTGGCATTTTGCTGTAACTGCACGCCGTCCTTAAGGGATCCGATGTCAAAATCTCCAATGCCTCGAGGCGATCGGAGGTGTTGGAAGAGCTGGCAACGGGGGCGGCGACGGTTTGTTCCAGCTGCTGGGGGCGGCTGGTCAGTTGGTCAAACACCTGATTGTGTGTCTGAACCGCGTCGTCGAGGTTGTGAATGTCCTCCTATTGTGCAATGCACGTGGCCAGAAGCTTCGTGAGATGGGAGAGGAGTAGAGCGATCTTGTTTCCACTCTCTTCCAGCTTCCCATTCGCATCCTCGGCCCGCCAGTCCGCTGCCATTGTGAGCAAAGCTCGCTCTGCGCTGAATATCTTCTCGCGTCGTTGAAGTCGTTCTTCATCGGCAGCCTTTGCTGTTGCCTCGTCTTGCTGGCGCTGCTGTTCAATTGCCAACAGACGTGCCTTCTCGGCGTCCTCTGCCTTCTTGTTTGCTGCAGCTGCTACTGCATCTGACCGTTGCTTGGCTTCGGTAATCAGAAGCAGCATCCAGGCCTGATAGGCCTCGTCCGTTTCCCGGACTTCTGGTCCATGACGGCTGTTTGCGAGCTCAAGAGCATACACCAGGCCGGGGGTCTCCTGATGTGGTACTCCCTGTTGCTGACGTGGCACTGCTGTCGGCTGACGTGGCCTGCTGACGTGGCCTGCTGACGTGGCAACTCACCAATGCCGCTGCAGGGGGTACCCGAAGACAGATAGAGAAGATAAGACGACAGGAGGCAACAACATAACAATGCTGAAATAGTCCCATCATCATCAACGAAGAACCAGAGTTGATATGCTATCTGACGCTCGGCGCCCAGACTACATGTGGCAGATCCTATCTAGCCTATACTACGAAGCCGACAGATGACGTCAACAACATTCCCGAAGTATGAGCATATGGCGACCAATGTCGCACGCTTCCAGCACCAGGTATGCCTCGCGCTACACTCACGACCTTGTTCCCAACTCACAGATGCCACTAGCACCCAAGGACCACCCTGCACCTTACCCAGCTCACAGCAGCGCAGCTCGGCTATGGCTGCGTGCTCCTTCCCTGCTCGCCCGTGAGAGCGTAGGCGCCAGCCAGCAAATAGCGCAGCAGCGCTTGCGCATCATGCAGCCAGCACCCGAATCCCGAATGAGGAGGCAGGCCCTTCCCTATATCGAAGTGGCCTGCGTCCAGTCCCAGGAAGCTTCCAGTAGGCCCCGGTAGCCTGAGGCCCAGCACGTCGAAAGCAGGCCTTGGGCCTGAAGTGGTTGTCTGTGCCCAACTACCTTTGGCCAGTGTTTGGCCCGGTACCCGTATTCAGCCCAGGGCGTGCTTCACATTTATTCACACAGGCAGCCCAGGGCCTGGGTTCACTCAACCAACTGGCGCTGCGCAACTGCCTGAATTTCCTTGAGATGCATGGTGGCCAGAAAAAGGCCCTGAGGGCCTCGTCGAGCCTACCTTCACTTAGGGCGGCCGACGGGCTGCAAAAGTGGGGCCTTATGAGGCCCTTAGAGGCAGTGGCCTCACATTCCCTCCTCCTTAGCTTCAACAGTCCTCTGAGAAGCTCAATCTTCGATCATAGGGCGCTTTCCCTTCTGCAGAGATCTCTCATATTGAGTTACAACTTGAGGAGCGGTATGCATGAGCTCTTCCCTGGTGAACCAACGGTCCTCCTTCGGATCAGTGTGATGCCGGAACCGAACGTGGTACTGCAGCTTCGGTTTTGGAGGACTTCCCCTGCCTGCTGGTCTTGATACCGGCAGCTCTCAGTGATCCACAATATCATCAATGTCCACCTCTCCGTCCATGGTTGGGGGCAGCAGTGAGCGACGAGATGGAAACTGGTCAGTCTCTTTGAAAGGTGCCAGCTTGGAGGCGTGAAAGACAGGGTAAGTACGGAGATGACCAGGAATCCGGATAACGTAAGATGGCCCATCCAGATCTGTCTCGACGATGTCCAAGACTTCCCAAGGTCCAAAGTACTGAGGCATGAGTTTGCGGCAGATCCCGTACTCCTATCCCACTTCTGAAGACTTAACCCAGACCCTATCCCCAACCTGAAATGTTGAAGGCAGGCGGTGTCGGTTTCCGGACTCTATCATTGCTGCCTGTGCCTTCTGCATCTGTTCTACCGCCTGCTGCATTTTCTGTTCATATCTGTAGGCAAACTCTAAAGTACCCGGTGCAGCAGTTGATTCATTCTCAGGAAGGAGAAAGTCAAGGGGTAGTCTAGGCTTGAGAGTCAATAGTAAATTGTTCGGGCTTACCCCAGTGGCACTGTGTACCGCATTGTTATACAGATTGGCGATGAGAGCAAGCTTCTCATCCCAGACCACCTGGTTGGGCTTGATGTAATGCCTCAACAGGTGTTGTACAACGCGGTTCAGTTGCTCGGCCTGGCCGTTGGCCTCTGGGTGATTCCCAGGAGTCATTTGCAATTGAGTGCCCTGCTCTGCAGCAGCGGCCTTCCACAACTCGCTGGTAAACCTGACATATATGTCACTGACAATAGACTTGGGTAAACCAAAGTCTCTAACCCAGTTTTCTTTTAACATTCGGATCACGTACTCCGTCTTTGCTTTTTTCGACCTGGCTACTAACCTAGCATATTTACTAAGTCTATCCACGATGACGAAGATGTGACGCATCCCACTCTTGGTGGTGATCAGAGTATCCATGAAATCCATGGACAGACTCTCACCAGGCCGTTCGGGAATCGGAAGGGGCTTCAGAAGCCCAAGAGGAGCCTGAGTACGTGGCTTGTCTCGTTGACACACTTGACAAGTCTCCACATACAGCTGAGCATGCCGCATCATCGTGGGCCACCAGAACCGTTGCAACAAGTTGGCTGCGGTCTTCTTATACCCAAAATGGCCGGTGGCATCATGGCACTCTCCTAAAAGTAAACTACGCAAAGACTCTCTATTTGGGACGCACAACCGTTTATTCCTGGCCTTCTCAAGAAATAGCAAACTGTTGACCAACTCAAACTCGGCGGAGGTCTTTTTGTCCTTCGCCTCGAGTCTGCGTATGATCTCCGACATGAACTGATCCTCGCGATAGGCATCCACCAAAGAGCGAGTTACATTGTCCGTGAGGTCGAACTCAGTAATCAGTGCACTTGAAAAGTCAGGTCTACACGACAAGGCATCAGCCACCTTGTTGTACTCCCCTTTGAGATACTGGGGGTCGAAGTCATATTGCTGAACGACTTCGATCCAACGCTTCAGTGCATCAGAAAGTTCGGGTTGAGTTCTCATCCATCTCAGGGTCTGATGATTAGTCCTGAGGATGAAGAATTCCCAAGGAGATAGTGTCTCCAATGGGTCAGAGCCTTGTACACGGCGTAGAGTTCCTTCTCATAGGTGGACTTTGCCAATTTTTTAGACGTCATTTTCTTGGACATGTACTATACAGGCCTCAACTTTGGCCCCTCCTGCTGCGTGAGCACGGCGCCAATGCCATATTGGCTGGCATCCGTGGTGACTATGAACGGCTTGTCAGGATCAGGAAGTTTCAAGACCTCGTAGTGTGTCAATGCATGCTTCAGATGTCTGAAAGCAGCCTTGCACTCGTCTGTCCACTCCCATGGGGTGTCAAGGCGGGTCAGATTAGTCAAAGGAGCGGCCACTATGCTATAATTCTTAACGAAAGTCCTATAGTAGCCTGTCATTCCTAAGAAAGATCTCATCTCAGTCACAGACTGAGGACGTGGCCAATCACGAATGCTGGCCACCTTCGCGTCATCGAGCTTTAACCCTTCCGCGGAGATCTCATGACCCAAGTACAAGACACAGGTGCAGCCAAACTCGCACTTCTCAACCTTGATCTTGAACTTGTGCTGTCGCAGGAGACTGAGGACTTTGTCCAAATGTGCAATGCGCTCCTCGACAGTCTTACTAAAAATAAGTATGTCATCGAGGTACATGATGACAAACTTATCCAAGTAGTCATGGAATATCCGATTAGGGTTGTACGTGGTGTGGGGCAGTGATAAGGCTTGGGCGTTGAACGTAAGGCGGCCCACGGTCATGTGGGCGAGCCAGGAAGCTATGTGGTGACATTAGGGTTGTACGTTGGATGCTGAGAGCTCGCTGATGTGGCATTTAAGCCGAGGTGGAACTGCATTTTGTTGTTGGTTGTGTCGAGGCAAAGACCGGTCATCATAAATGCACATCATGTTGCCCGTGATAAATCTGTGGTTGGGGGCAGCATTATGAGGTACGTTGCTTCCTTCCTTATCTACCTCTTCATTGCTTCTTACCGTGAGGAAGTGAGTCTTGTCTTGAGAGTCCTCTCAATGTGAGGTGTCGCGCGCGCTCAAGCTGGAGAGTCGACATTCTTCCTGGGCAGCAAGCTGGTGGGAGACGGGCGATGCCTCTGAAGGGCCCTGTACGAAGCACTCGGGTCACGGTCACCATGGCAACCCATTGAGACTAGTACACGCATGCTTTGCCGCAAGTCCTGGGTTCTGCTGCTGCGCAATAGAGGTCATGCAGGGCATGCCAGCCCTTTGAACAGACGCTTACCATACCGTCTCTAAATATTTATGGCGGGGACTCGGTGTTGATTCTGGCTGTGATTATCGTCCTGTCTGCGACGTTAAATAATTCCTGAGAGTTACGGGGGATCTCATTAAGTGCCTCCTTATCAGCCACAGATCAAACCGGGTGTAAGGCTCGTTGCATGCGAGGATAAATAATGTGCAGGGGCTGGCAAGTTCGGCGTTGACTTGGGGCACAGGGGTGGGCCGGATTGCACACCTTTAGACACGCTGCTCAACCAGATGCCTAGGAACGTCGACACAAAGTGACTACTCAAGAGGGATACAGGGAAAGGGTTGGAATCCGGTAACTGTTCGTGGTGACATTAATTAGATAAACTGCCATCCAGCATACATCTTTGCAGGGAACATTATTTTTATTTTTGATTATTTAGTTGTTATGGACTTGACTAACAACTGATAGACAACTAGAGATAGAGTAAAATATTCTTTGCTACATTGCAATCTGTATTAGAGTAATCTAAAAATAGATTTAATATTCCCTGTAGGATCTGACACTGGGTGACACCTAACTACCTAACTGTTCCTGTCTAGACCGACCGAAGTTAGTGGTGTATCATAATCGGTTGTGTGTCATGCTGAGGTAGGATTCAATGTGGATTCTAGTTTAGATCACACACACTGTAGCTCATGAGTGATGCAAGCACTAGTGAGGAGGAGTTGTTAGTGGATGACCGTAGGACTACTCATAGAACTGCTGTCAGTCGACCTTTGACTTTTTGAGAGGTAGGTCCAGGAGACGAGAAGAGACTGCGGAGAGAGACTAGAGAGAGATTAGTTGCAAGAAGAGCGAGGGTGGCCAAGGACAGTGCCAGGTCTAGGATTACAACTAGCACCGGTGCGACCATGGCTACTTCCTCTACCATGTCGCAGGCCTCTTCACAGGCCACTTCGTCAGGAGTCAGTCAGCGTGGTTCTCGGGTTTCCATTAGCCAGAGTGTTGGCTTACAAGTCAGCCAGCAGGCTCAACTCACGCCGGAGGATTATGAGATCCTCCAAGCAAGAGAACTCTAGGACGAGTTGCAGCGGCAGTAGAGAGGAGAAGAAGAGCTATAATGAGGAAAGCTAGACTAGGTAGTAGATTGCAGGAGCTAGGCAAGCTAGAAGCACTAGAGGAGTCCACATTAGATCCCGCTATGCAAGCACTGCGGAATTTGCTCCTGTGTGTGGCTCAGGTTGTTCAGCATGAAGTGTTGGCTGAACTAGTGGCAGGCCAAAAATGAATTCTGGCTGCATTACAGGCTCCTCGTCTAGTGATGAGGCAGCCTCAGTTTGCTGTAGCTCCCCCTTCGGGTGCGGGTCCATCAGTGACGCCATCGCCGGTAGGGCCTTCATTCTCACCTATGTTTGGCATGCCCCCTCGAGGTGGTCATGTAGCAACTAGTGGTCCGGTTCATAGAGTCTCAGCCATACCATCAACGGCAGTGGTTACTACAGTCCCACTGTCAAGCCAGGCCGAGGTTAGTATGCAGCAACCTGTTTCGGTGGCTATGTAGCCACTGCAGCAATCCCCTAGGCCAATGCAGCCTATGCAGTGGATGCCCACAATACCCTTGCGGAGTCCTAAGCCCTTCTCCGGCGACAGGAAAAAGGATGAGGACTTGGACACCTGGGTAAGGACGGTGCCTACCTATGTGAGGCACAAGCTTACAAGGCCGGAGCAAGAAGTTGTAGTGGCTGCCTCCTTTCTAGAGGGGTCAAAATCCCGTTGGTTGAATAGCCTAGTGCAGCAGCAGGGCTCCGGTCAGAAATTTGATGCCAGGGCCCAGGCCCAGACATTGGAAGAGTTCATACGGTCCGTGTACAATAGGTGGCATGACCCTCAAGGGACCCAAAAGGCCACATATGCGATCAACAGCCTTTGTGCCAGAAGGTACAAGAATGTTAGAGAGTTCACGGATACCGTAGAACGTCTGCTCGTAGTACCTGGTGTGCGCTATGATCATCAGGTTCTCCTTACAGATTACCTTAGATGTCTACCTTCAGAGGTTAGGACAAAGCTGGTAGACGAGGCCTATGTCGAACAACACAACTTCGCTTCATTCAGCAAGAAGGCCTTGAAGTTGGGATTTGCACATCAGAGTCAGGGGGATGGTAGGAAGAAGAGACTACCCCAGGGCTGGAAGAAAAAAGGTCAACTAATGTTCGTTGACCACGCTGGTCAGGCGACAAAAATTGACGACTTACAAAACCTTGGGGAGGAGACAGAGCACGATGGGGCCAGCGAGGCTTCAGATGGGGGAGTCGTGGCACCCATCAAGGAAAAGGCTAGGGGGACTGGGAAGAAGAAGGTAGACCGGTCTACGGGTAAGGGCGACCAAGAAACGCCCGTATGGGTGAAACTTGGTTTAGAGTATGAGGTGTGGAGGGACCTAGTCGCTAGGGGCACGTGCATGAATTGTGGCATCTATGGCCACATGTCCCGAACGTGTCGAGGCAAGAAAGTCCTAACGAGGGTAGACTCTCCAACGGTGGTGGGACTATCTTCGAACCCGGGTGGTGCTTCTACGGACACTTCGCAAGGAAACACCTCGAGCCAGTAGGAGTTTTATCCGCTCTTACTCGCGCTGAAGTGGAACGTTGCCTTCCCCACTTCAGGCGTTGGCCAGGGCTAGTGACCCACGTATCGCCCCGCAGACACATTTAGACCCACCGACGCTCTGTTCGAGAGATGTGTCTTAGGCCCTAGAAGAGTTAGAGACTGAGTGGTCAGGGAAGGACCCCAGAGACTCTTGGGCGATGATCAGTAGAGGTCCAAAGGGTGAACATTTCGTGGTAGAGGTTGATGTAGGTGGCCGCAAAGTTGGCGCCTTCGCAGACATAGGCTCTACACAAAACTCCATCAGTCGTCCTTGTGTGGATAGACTGCGCTTAGGGGACCAAGTGCAACGGCTTAGCAGAACTGTAGCTTTTACGCTAGCCAACGAGCACCAAACGGTAGTTAAAGACTATGTCAAGGATGTAGTTTGTTCCTTCTCTTATGGAGGAGGGGAAGTGAGACGTAAAATCTCATTCCTCGTTAGCGACGAACTGACCTTTGATATGCTACTAGGCATGTACTACCTCGAGGTCGTGCCACCTCAGTTTGACTGGGATAGGAAGGTGTTGATACATAAGTTGCCAAATGGTAGGACCGTTAGACTGCAGAAGTATAAGGCTAGCAGTTTAGTGGAGAGCTACGGCTGCGTGTGTGCTTCCTCTTTCTATAACTACTACAAGCAAAATCGCGAGGAGGGCATGTATCTAGTCTTTGTCTCTGAAAAAGGGGAGGCCGTTAAAACACCCCCAGAGATAGAATCAATCGTCGCACAATATTTTGACCTTTTTGAGGAGCCCACAGGCGTGGTAGAGAGGGAGGTGGTCCATGCAATAGAGGTTGTGCCACGTAGTAAGATACCTGGAGGACGAATCTATAAGATGTTTCCTGCGGAGCTGGATGAGCTCCACCGCCAGCTCAAGGAGCTCACAGAAAAGGGATGGATTCGGCCGCCAGTCTTATTTATCCCAAAGAAGGGAGGTACCTTGAGGATGTGCATTGACTATAGGGGGCTCAATGCCATCATCGTAAAGAACGCGGAGCCCCTACCGCACATGGACGACCTCTTGGATAGAGTGCAGGGATGTCGGTACTTCATCAAAATAGATCTGAAATCCGGATACCATCAAATTGCCATTAGACCTGAGGACCAACACAAAACCGCATTTCAGACCAGGTACGGTCTCTATGATTTTGTGGTGATGCCCTTTGGCCTATGCAATGCACCTGGTACGTTCCAGCACGCGATGAACAGGATATTTCATGATTACTTAGACAAGTTTATCGTTGTGTACCTCGACGATATTCTTATCTTTAATAGGACTGTAGAGGAGCACGCTGATCACTTGAAAATAGTGCTAGGTCTCCTAAGACAACACAAGTACAAGGTTAACTTGGAGAAATGCGAGTTTGGTCGCACCAAGATCTTGCACTTGGGTCAAGAAATCTCAGCAAATGGATTGAGGCCGGATGATGCTAAGGTGGCCAGCATACGTGACTGGCCCAAACCTCAGACTGTCACTGAGGTCAGATCCTTTTTGGGGATGATGGGCTACTATCGTCCGTTTGTAAGGAACTATAGTACTATAGCTTCCCCATTAACAGATCTAACTCGACTGCACACCTCGTGGGAGTGGACTGAAGAGTGTGAGTCGGCCTTCAAGAAACTGAAGTATGCTCTGACCCACTATGAGGTTCTTAAACTTCGTGATCCTGATAAGCCATTTGTTGTGACCACAAATGCTAGCCAATATGGCATAGGCGCGGTCCTTGCGCAAAAGGAGAGACCTATCGAGTGCATGAGTAAGAAGATGCCATCACAAAAACTAGCCAAGTCCACTTATGAGGGTGAGCTCTATGCCCTGTATAGAGCGCTGTCATGATGCAACTGGTCATTTTGGTTATAAAAAGACTTCAACTAATCTAGTGCAGAAGTTCTGGTGGTCCACTATGATGCAAGATGCAAAAAAGTATGT